AGAGAAGTTAAAAAAACTTAAGTTCGTAAAACTGTAGTTTCTATCGGTCGGGTCCGACTAACCTTCGGGACTTGGACTCTTCGGGAGGGGTTCGTTGGTACGAGCCGTTGGAGACCTTCACATTTGCAGGGTTCATGTTTTGAAGTAAGAGCTCGAGATTTGATCGAAGCACGCGCCAAGGGTATGAATGTCTTTTCCTTCTCTCTCTTAATTGTTGTTTAATTTTTGATTGCATCCTTAGTCGCTTTAATTAGTGTGCAAGTCTTGGGCGGGTTTCTCTTCCGTGCAGAGTCGGACTCTACAATACCCAACAATCCATTACTGCAACTCTGTGCTCATGAGTTGAGGCTAGAAGTTTCCATACGTTCATTTCTACTTTAGTCTTTTTTAGTTGCTTGACAATATGATTATCTTCTATGATGGATGTTGGAGCTTGTTGAGTTGCAGGTGTAGGCACGATCGTGACTAGTTGTTGCACTTTCCTAGAGCTTGTAAGCACAGTGATTGGGGAGTCCTCATCCCATATATATGCCGTCATTTTCTTCGAGTGGGTAAAGTGCAACAAGTGGTGATTCAACCATGTCCTTGAGGTACACGTCTTCATCATCACTGTCCTAAATTCCATTGATAGTTGTATCATTGGGAGTGGGAATAATGCTTTCTTCTCTTGGGGTTTTGATGAAAAGTTGACCATTATCTATGAGTCCTTGGATATATTCCTTGAACTTGAAGAATTTTCGGTTGTATGACCTCCAGATTGATGACACATGCAATTAAATTTGTCCATTCTTAAAAGGGACTCAAATGGCTTTGGTTTAAGAGGCTTGACCATACCCCTGTCGAGGATCATGTCAAAGGCTCTTTCATAAGTAGTGCCTATAGGTGTGTAAGCCCTCTTGACCCTTTTCACTTGAGGCTCAACAACGTTGAAGATAAATGGCTTTCTGCCAACGGTATTTAGTTTATGAGAGGAAGAAGAGGAGTCACACTTTCTTTTAAGGATAGGCTTGCTTTCTAATTTATCTACTTTCCTAAAAAGAATTTGAAGTTCAAGACTTAGTTCTTGAACAAAGGCCAGCCATATCTATGCTGATAGGGTTTTGGGAGGGACTAGCAATGTCTTTATTGGTAGTCTCATCTTGGAAATCAGTCATGGAATGAAGAAGATCTCCTCTTCTTGTTCAATGGCATCGACTTTTTCCATGGAAGCATCTTTGACAGGTTTAATGAGGAGCGATGGATCGAGCATAGTTTGATCATCAAAAATAGTCAAGGCGTCAGAAAGTGGAGAATTATTGATGCTTGGCTTCTTACTAGCAGGAGACACTGGAAGTTTGTTGTTATCAATCAAATATTGAATAGCTTCTTTTAACTTCTAGCAACTTTCAGTAGAGTGGCCCCTATCTTGATGGTATTAGCTCATCCCAATAGGGGTGAACTCTTTCCATAGTTGCCTTCTTGGCCCTTGATTATCCATAGCTAGGACATCATTAAGATTAAAGGTGCTAATATTGTTACTAGAGTGGGTGTTCTTGGAAGAAGAAGGATTGTCGTTCTTCTTTCCTTTCCATCCACTGTTGTTACTATTGTTAGCAGCTTTTAATTTTGCATGGTCATCTTCGATTTCAATGCCTACTTTATAAATGGCCTTGAAAGTGCTTAGATTACATTGATATTTTAAATGCTTTTGATATTTTTCTTGAAGGTTTCGAATGAACATTCTCACAGATTCTCTTTCATTCGGAACTTCAATCATTCTAGTGGAAGTTTCCTTCCACCTATTGTAAAATGTAGTAAAACCTTCATTTTAATTTTTCTTAAGAATTTCAAGCTCCCTATGATTAGTTTCCACTTGAATATTACATTTTTATCTATCAATAAAAGCATGTGTAATATTTTCCCAATCAGCAATTTTCTCAGCACCTATGGAAAAGAACCATTGTTGACATACTGGCTAAGTGAAAAGAGAGAAAAGTGACGGGAAGACTTTCTTGTCGATGCCCTTAATTTCCATGATTGTCTCGAAAGCCTTCTAGTGAAAGTACGGATTCCCAGTAGCCTTGAACTTAGGGATGTCATTGGCAGAGAACTTCTGCGGAAGAAGGTCCTTATCCACTGAGATCCCCTTAAAGCTTATTCCAGGGTACTTGTAGTCATTAGAGATTTGCCTTAACCTGTCTTTGATGCGCTTGATTGTCTCAACTGGTACTTGCTTGTTAGGGTCCTCAGCCTTCTCTATTCGAGTGGTGGGTCGTTTGAGCATTTCAGCATGGTAATATACGGTCTTTTAAATTCTGCCAACATCTTCTTGCTTAGCCGACATTATTCTTGCCTTTCTTTTTCTTCGAATTAGACTTTGGAAAAGGAGTACTTGTACGAAAGTGTTATATTTGATTAAGCGTCCTTCTTTCCTTGACCAAATGCTATAAATTTAAACCATTAACTCTTTTAATGACTTGAATCAAATCGACTCGTACTTTTATTGGGTTAAAAAGCCAAAAAAAAAAAAAAAACATGGGTGCGTATTTTGTGGGAATCAAGTGTGGGAATTAAGTGTGGGAGACAAGTTTTCAAGCAACATGGTTTATGTTGGGAGGATAATATCCGAATTACCCCCCTAAAAAAATGACGGAAAAACGCACACAAGACTCTAAACATGGTCATGGTGAAAAGACATATACAAAGTGTGTTAAAACACTCGTGAGTGAAAGTGATATGTTCAAGACTCGTGCGATGACCTTGAAACTGGACATGTGATTAGACTCAAACAAAGACCAAGTTAAGACCTCGTTTATCCATTAAAACGGTTAAAATGGATGTAGGACTCGATTCGAAGACTGGGAAAGAATTAGCTGAACCACGCGGCGCAATAGGACTATCGCCGCACGGTGGAAGCTAGCGTTCTGCGCTACAGACCAAATTCACGCGCCAAAAATGGAACGTCAATCTAATATGTTTTCAGTGATTCTTTCAAAGGTAGACCTATAGACTGCTAGGTCGAGTATGTTTAGATTTCATAGGTTCAAATTAATTAGCCAATTTAATTAAGCAAAGTCCTTTTTAGTCCTTGGTTATTTCATTAAGACTTTCTGTACAAGAAACAAGTCAACATAAAGGGTTAGTTTAATCACAAGTAGGATATGCACAAGTAAGATATGCACAAGTAGTCACGTAGTCACAATATGATGCAATGAGTTTGCAACCTAACCATGGCTCTAGTTCTCTAAGGTCAAAGATTATGGTGTCCAAGAGGGTCCATGGTTATAAGCCCGAATGCGTCGCGCGGAAGCCTTACCTTAAAAGGGTTGGAACGATGGATGGGACCCAGCAAGGTACACTCGCTTCCATGGTTTGGTGAATTCACAAACTCGAATGCACCCATTGTTGCACGGAGTGTTCATTAGGGTGGATGGAGCGTGAATTCCCAAGGGCTAAAACCATATGTAGAACACATATGGGTTCAGAAAAGTCAAAAAAACTCAATCAGGAAGTAAAATCGTCGAAACAGTTTTAGAATCAGGCAGAACACAAAGACAGAATTCTGGCGCAATGTCGTGAGAACTCGGCGCGAGAAAACAGAGGCCATCACGTAGCGAAAGCTCTATCGCGCCGTGATAAAGCTGTCGTCTGGCGACGAAATCTTTCGTCTTGCGACATTTTCAACGCCCTGTTGGAGTTTCTATGTTCGACGTTTTTTTCGATTTTTCATAGCGTTTATTTGATTTTAGTTGTGAAAGATATATCCGACTTTTCCTACGTGTAAATATCCTATGTTTTTGATGCATTATGGATGGTCTTTCAATTGTGAACCTTTTTATGCTTATGCCACAATGTTAATTAAAATTACGCACAATGAATATCTAAAATCTTTCAAGTCTCATCCACTCATTCTAAATCGATTGCCAAAATAAATTTTAGGAACAGAAATCAGAAACCCTCCCCAGCGGAGTCGCTAAAAACTGTAGGGAATTTTCAAACTCAAAATCGAGCCCTACTGTGGTCATGTTTTTAAGCATGGTGGCGTCCAAAGGGAAGGAAGCTAGAGATAAAAGAGTCGCGAACAAGTTTTAGAAACTTGTAAACCATTCACGGGTGTGAAGGTTACACCCCATTAACAATCACGGAGATTTATAACTCCATAGTGGTCTAGAACCATGACTGGATGCTCAGGGATGATAGAATGAATCCAACCTAAAAGAGATTGAACCCGCTCTAAATTGCCCTCTACTTAATTCTTATGATATTCATGTGTGCTTTTTGATCAACATACATCCATCAAATTAATCCTAAGAATATTTAATCTACGTTGGTTGATTAATGCACAATCAAATCTATTATCAGTGATCACGTGAATTAAAATTATATTAGCCTAAATCAAATTATTAATTATCTTATTAGGTGTGATTTGAAGTACAAATTCCCTTTAAACTTGCAAAAAGAGCGTGATCAAGCAATAACAATCAATCATGAATAATCAAGCAATAATGTATAATTGACAAAACAATCATCATCATAATCAAAATATCATCGAAACATGATTAGCAAGATCCTAGGCATGATACTAAACGGATTAATAACAAATCATAGCATCACTACTACATTTTTGATCTATTGCAACCCCCAAATCCGTTGTATTAGGCGTCAAAATCCGTGGCATTAGGCCTAATGCGACGGCCATGTACCGTGGCATCTGCTGGCGTTGCAGTAGGTCTAATGCAACGGCATATGACACCTAATGCCACGGCTCCACTGATCCGTGGCAATAGACCAATACCTATTGCAACGACATAACTTATCCGTGGCAATAGAGTACTGACTAATAATTATGATGAAATTGAACCTATTGCAACGGATGAAGCTAATTAATACAATGATAGGAGTACGTATCTACTACAACGGATTGATCATTGGTTTTTTTTTTTTTTTTTTTTTTTTTTTTTTTTTTTTTTGTTGGGATGGAATGGTAATATAATATTAATTAGTCGATACAAATCTAAATATACTAACATAAACAAATTAAAGTATCATTTATATATAATAATTATAATGCAAAATACGTACATTACAAAATATTACTTGCCTATTTTTGGTATGACATACCCTACTAATAATAAATAAAAGTAAGATAATTAATTTGATCGTCCAAAATACAAATTGTCAACATATATATAAGCCGAAATATCCAAATCTTCACAAAGCCGAAACTTGAATAAGAGTCGCCAACATATATGCACCATTTGTTAGATGGCTAGTCACTATACATTCGCTCCATTTGACTCCCCCATGCACCTACACGTAAAATTGAAAAAAATAAAAGAAATATAATTAAACTAAATTATAAATTATAATAGACCAAGCCCACAATCAACATAGCTCAGATTATGGTTGTTTAAAAGATGGCAGCAAAGAAATTTTTTTTTTACACAAAAAGGAAAATATTATTAATTTATAGTGGTAGTAGCCACATTAATTACCAAAAGATAAGCATTCCAAGTCTGAAAAACAAAATAGCACCCCGGAATATAACAAAGTGGCTTGCTGGTTTTGGCCTATAGGTCCTTGCTGCTGGTTATGTCTGTTGCTGTTTCTGCCAGCTGTTGTTTCTGCTGCCCAAGCTACTGTTTCTGCTGCTGTTTATTTCACCTACACTAGAAGCCAAAATAAGGAGGTGAAAAAATCAATAGATTTTCTAATTCCTATATTAGTAAAGCACTAGCCCATAACTCCATTAGTACTCACAGAAGATTGAATAACTTCATTACTCTATCAACCTTAAAGGAAAGAAAGGAGACTGAACATGCCTATTATTTGCCAAATGTTGTAACAAAAGAAATAATCTCAGGAAAGTGATTTTATGATGCAAAAATAATGAAGGCCTAACTTGGTATCTTTACCGACAAGAGGACATTTATTTGTCTCGCACTCAATTAGATTTTCCTAGCTAATCAAACAATTATCAAAAAATAACTAGAGATATCAAAATACTCTATAAATCTCAAGGCACGGTGCAACAAGCTGTAACGTAATACAATACAAATGGCATCCCAGTGCAAAAGCCACTGCCAAAGAGAGGCCATAAAAACAAGTTAAATGATCCCAATCTTATTCAATTCACTAGGAATTATGAATAACTCCTGTTGTCTAAAAATTAACTAGCTAAATCAACATTACTCAAGGGCAATGATATTCTGGAGGAGAGAGAGAGAAACATGGATGTGTAAGTTGTGTAACTATAATGTTAGTGGAAAGGTAGAGAGAAAACTTTTCCAAAGCAATAAGATAACTTAGCTCTCGGTCAATCCAAAAAACAAAAAAAATTATACCTGAACTCTGGAATGGAAGGAGTGGTGGTAGTGTATTAACACACTCTGGAATGGAAGGAGTGGTGGTAGTCTATTAACCATTATAAATTTAAAACTTTTTTTTTGAAAAAAAGCAATAGTTGGTTAGAAATTTAGAACATTCATCAGAAAAATCTAAGGATGATAAATTTATCACAAATTAGTCGTCCTTGGGCATTGACCCACAAATTCGAAGGTCAAGTATAATATGCAAAACAATTAAACATTGGTCCATAATAGCACACAATTACTCCTTCCCTGGTTCTTTGCAAATTAAAACTACATTTGAAACTTTGTTTGACACAATACATAGGAATCATAACCAATTAAACGTGCGTAATATAGTAAAATCAGCCATTAGTTATAAGGGATAAGAACATACTTTCTATTACAATCAGCACAATTTGACAAGTCAACCGTATAGATCTGCCATGTCATCTGCCTAGATGCAGCAGCCAAACATGCAAAATATGGCCATCCTGTAGTTCCAATAGAAGTAAAAAAAGCAAATAGCTTTAAAGTAAAATCCTATAAACTATAACCCCAAATATATAAAAATCAACAACTAAGAAACCATGAGCAGCAAACTATGAGACATGCATACCCAAATGTGCATTGTATCCACTGAGAGCGAGGCTGCATATGCTTATAATTCCAAACCCAGTGACCCATTCCTTTGTTAAGTCCCCAAACCTCAAGGCCGTAGATTTCACACCCACTTTCAGATCATCTTCTCTATCCTGCAGTAATTTACAGTTTCAAAGGGTTTGATTCTCAAGAGATTAATCAAATACCTTTTAATTTACATTCCAAAAATACAAGACTAAGAATTGAATAATATCCAAGACTAAAAATTGAGTAAATTTACTACTATTTCCATTCCTTAAAGTTATTCCAATGTAAAAACTTTATAGATTCTAACACAAATGAAATATTGGACTCTCTCGATATATATATGGGAAAAAAATACTCTTATGAAATTTTGATTGATTTGTCTAGATATATAATATCACACTTTTACAGATTTTGATGATATTGATACCCAAAGCATTTATCGAAAAAAATAGGTAAACGGGAACGTCTTTTAGAATTGGAGGTAGTAATTTTATATACACTACAGAGGCTTTTCCCCTTCCAGACTGTTCAATGTGGCCACCAGACACTTCCAATTATCTCTCACACAAAAATTTCAAAATATAACATCAAAGAGTTTGAAATCTTCATCATTTTCTATACGCGTGAAGGATTTTTACAAAACTCAATATGAATTTGAAGATATTAAACAGTATATTTCATTATTTCAATAGAACAATGCTCTGTAAGCGTTAGTTGGACAGACAACAGGCACGTATTTTACATTGCAAGATAGTTACATTTTATTGGAATCAACTTTAAAGCATTGGATATGAAACATATTCACTTATATTCCTTTTAGCAATCCAAAGTTTCGTATGTATTTTGGAGGCACAAAGGGCCGGGAAAGGTCTTGTGGAACTCAACATCATTATATTGGTTTGATATAGATTATTTAAATGAAAAAGAAAGTTTACCAAGATTATATTTACAATCAAACTAAACAACTTCAATACGTTGAACAACTAATTAGGAGGATATGTGGGAAGTATAACAATACTATAAACTTGCTGTAAAAATTAAATTGTCTTCATATGAGCAAAAATTTAAGTTTTAAATATAAAATAAAAAACCAAACTAATGATATTGCAGATTCTTAAGCTATATTTAACACGAATCTACCTGAATTGGCTCCGTAACACTAGCAAGCTTCTCCTTGACTTCCACCACAGGCACCTCTACATTCGTTTGAGTTTCTTTTTCCATTAATAATCACAATACTTGACCTCAAACCTAGGTAAACAAATGTACAAGCTTAAAACCACGACTACTTCTACCTTATTGCATACAGGTCAACCCAAACACTTGCACTGTTGCACTTGCACTACATGTAAAGAAATGCTACAAAGATTCAACAAAAAAAACAAAAAAAAGGATAAAATTGTTGTAAATTGCATTTTTCCACCTTTTGGACATCAAGAAAGTAGCTTTCATGAGGTACTTTTTTTTATAATGATACTAAAATATGCATAAAGACAGGTTGAACAGAGCCTTTGGGCAACAGATCTAAGGCTACATGCTCTAATAATTTAAATACCATATATCCAACTGGATTTCACAGTGCACTCAGTTTTATACGAGGGAAAAAAAATCACATCTAATTTGCTCATATGAAGACAATTTAATTTTTGCAGCAGTTTATAGTATTGTTATACTTCCCACATATCCTCCTAATTAGTACAGGTTTTGGTCAATAATACAAGCACTTCAAAAAAAATTGGAAGGGAGTTTCGACCTATAATGGGGTGAATTTAACCTGGTATACACTAGGTGATACTGATCAGAGACAAGCTCAAAAGAAAAACAAAAAAAAAAACTGCTTCTTCAGCCATAAACCTTAAACCTCACAAAGAAACCTTCCCGCCCCCCCAATTTTTCTCTTATATCTTATTTTGCAATTCTCTCCTACTGCTACAAATTACTTCCAACAAGATTGGGACTAAAAGGCACAACAGAACCTTAAAAACTCATCAAACCTCACAGTATTAAATAACAACCAGGCTTATTATTGCTACATATATGTACATTAGTAATCGACACAAGCACAAAAAACATAGAAAAGATATTAATAAGAAAGTAATCAAAATTCAAGAAATTACAAAATGAAAGCTTCCTATTATCACAAATCAAGATAATCAGCACTCGAATTCAACATTGCAACTAATTTCAATCTATAAACCATCACTTACAGCAAAATCAACCCAAAATCTACCATTAATGTCGCATAAAAACATAATAAAACCCTAACACGACAAAATGGAGCAAACAAGTAGCAATTTGAGCAAAATTTCCACAAAATCTCGTCAATTAAATTAAACGTAGTAATTGTATGAATTCACAAACAATGAAGAAAATTAAGGATCTAGGGTTTGAATTGGAGAGGAATAAACCTTAAGCTAAGAAAGGAGACGAGTGGAGGTGTCGAATTCGTCAACAGAGGTGGTTTTGGAGTGGTTCCGTGGTGGAATCCTAACCCTAACAATCATTACACAAAAATTTTCCGTCATTTTTGTGGAGGGTATCGACTTTCTCTCGAAAAGAAAGACGTGAAAAGGAAAAGAGGTAAAGTGTTGGTGAAAGATGAAGTCTTTGAAATTCCTCAATATGAAAAGAATGAATCAAGCGATGATGCATGTTGAATGAGCTTAATCAAGTGTATGCGTTGATGTTGTATCTCATGGTGCAAGGATTGTAACATCCTAGACTATCTCAATTGATGATGAATCAATAATGAAAGTACTTGGGTAACATAGGCGCAGAGGCTAAGTACTTCATACTTTGTGATTCGATTATGATAATGAGTGATCTAAGATGAAAAGGCATGCTTCAGGGTTGTATCAAGATTTCATGAGAAAGGGTTCCTAAAGGAAGGATTTTTTGGCTATGTATGTGTGATGTGTGTGAAAGTGACATAAGGCTAAGCTATAAAGGCTAAGGGTGTGGAAAAATACTTTGAGAAGAGTTAAATGATGGTGACTCTTAGGCTTGGTAAGTTAATGATGTTAGGATCAAACCCCCAAGTCTAGCTCTAAATGGATAGGGATGGGCATTGGACATTCCTTGATATTATCATGCATGAATGTAAATATAAATGAATTTTTATTACGGCCGCACCTTAATGTGAGGTTGCCTACGTATCCGTTAGGAATCAGGCCGAACGTAGCTCTAGCCAAACCTCGCACAAGTGTGTATATACCTCAAAGAGGTCTTTCAAGGGTTGTAATAGGGTTAGGCTAAAGGTTTAAGAAGAAAGGATAAAGGCTCAAGACCCAAAATAAGGCCCCAAGGTGCGCAACTCTGCATTTAAATCTTGGTATTTGTATGCTTGAGGTTTCTCACTTTAAAACTCTCTTTTATTTGTTTTTGAATTTGTATCTTCTTTTGAATAAGTGTGGGCAATTCCGATCATGCGGTCTATCACTCACTTGGTATTCATGTTTCTTAAGCACGGTGTCGAGCACTCAATAAGAGACGCAATTTGAGACGTGTTCATATAAAAGACATTGGAACACTTGCCCTTTTGCACACTTTTATTGCTTTTTGAACTTTTGATATTTTTGGAAAATCACTCAAACTTTTGTATTTGGCTTTGAAAATTTCATAAGTTGCACACCATCCCATCCCTAGGTTAGGTAGATGTGGGTTGAAAAAAGAAAAGTCAGTCGTTAGGCGAGGCTCAAAGTGGTTTATCAAGAAAGGATTGTATATTCGAAAGGGGTAAAGGTGATATGATGTGGATACAAAGGGTGCCTCAAATCATAGGTATACCTTTTGTTAAGCTCGACGTGGATTTTATTTTTATTTTTATTTATTTATATTTTGAAAATGCAATGCAATGATCATATGCAAGGAAATAAATGCTCATTTTATTGAAATGAAAAAGGTGAAAAAACAAACTCTAAGAAATAAATCTAAGACATGATGGAGGGTACCTATGCTAGACTCGTTAGGGGAAAGGGAAAAAAAGAATAAGAAAAGAATCATGAAATCTTGTCATTGAAGTCTGCCTCGCGCTTTGTGTTATCCTTGACCAAAGGTTGTAGATCAGAAAAGGGAAACCATGTATGTTTTATTGTCAATCACATGACTTGAACTCAATTCAACATGCATAGATGAGGTGGTTCTCAGAAGATCATAGTGTATGGGGTGAATGACATATTTGGAGAAAGCATGTAATAGGAGTGTATGTACGAAGATATATGTGTATAGAGAAAGTATGCGAATGTGGAAGGTGTTTAAGAAAGAAAGTGTGAGGTATGTAATGTTGTAAAGGGAAGAAGTGTATTTGTGGAAAGGTATGGAAGAAATCCGACAATAGGACGGACCCTCAACTCGAAGACGGAAAGTTGACTCATGCATGGACCTAGGATATGGTCATGGTCTTAAAAAAGTATGTACAAGGTGTGTGCTAAGACTCATGAGTGAAAGTGATGTGTTCTAGACTCGTGTAATGACCATGTGACTAGACATGAGAACGGTGTGAAAAAACGAAGGACTCAAGGACAAAATAGCCGAAAGACTAAAAGATAGACAAACTAAGTTGATTAAATTTGTTTAATTTTAATGTTTGTGCTATTTATTAGGTGAAAGCAGTCCATTGACAAACGTTAGTCATAAATAAGATTCACAATCAAATACAAAGAACACATGTTAAGGTTAGCACAATAATCACAAAAGACTAGGAAGATGGATTAGAATTCTACAAAAGTTAGGACTCAAGAGAATAAATAAATAAAAATAAAAATCTACAATCCTATTTTATACGAGTTGACACGGATTAGAGGAATAAGAAAAGTAGAAGATTTCCTAAGACTAGCTTGACACGAAAAGAAATAAAAAAAAAGGTTGGACGCTAAAAAGAACTCCTAAGTTGGACAAGTTCTAGTATTTCAGTCATAACTATTGTTCTTTGACTCTGATTGGGACAAAACCAACTCCAAATGAAAGATAAAATCCTAGGATACGGATCCATTGGTTGCACGACACATAACTCTTTCTAGAACTCCGGCTATGACCAAAACAAATGACGCTTGTACAGTATACGAGAATGAAAAATCCGGGTTGACTCAAAATAAAAAAAAGAACTATGACTCGACTTAATAAAATAGAAGAGGATTAAATAAGAGAAACAAGTCCTTGGTTAGTATGTTTAGACATATTTACAATAAACAAGTGAACACAAAGGGTTAGTCTAATAAAAAACAAGCTATGCACATGTAAGATATTCACAAGTAGTCAAGTAGTCACAATATGATGCAATGAGTTTGTAACCCAACCATGGTTCTAGTTCTCTAAAGGTCAAGGATTATGGTGTCCAAAAGGGTCCATGGTTATGAGTCCGAATGCATCGTGCGAAAGTCTTACCTTAGAAGGGTTGGCATGATGGATGGGACCCCGCAAGTTAGACTTGCTTCCATGGTTTGGTGAATTGACAAACTTGGAAGCACCCATTTTTGCACGGAGCGTTCATTAGGGTGGATGGAGCGTGAATTCCTTGGGGCTAAGACCATATGTAAAACACATATGGGTTTAGAAAAGTCGAAAAAACACAAATCAGGAAGTAGAATCGTCGAGACAGTACTTGAAATGGTCAAAACAAGAAGATAGACTCCTGGCGCAATGTCGCGAGAAAACAGAGGTTGTCACGCAGCGACAACTCTATCGTGTCGCGGTAGTTTTTTATGTTCTATGTTTATTCCAATTTTTTAGTATCGTTTCAATTATAGTTGTGAAAGATATTTCCAGCGTTTCCTACGTGTAAAAAGCCTATGTTTTTTAAGCATTACGGATGGTCTTTCCAATGCGGACCTGTTTATGCTTATGCCACAATGTTAATCAAAATTACGCACATGAATATTTACAATCTTTCAAGTCTCATTCTAAATCAATTGCCAAAATAAATTTTAGGAATCAAAATTAGAAATCCTCCCGAGCGGTGTCGCCAAAAAACTGTAGGGAATTTTTCAATCTCAACCTTGAGCCCCACTATGATCATGCTTTTAGGCATGGTGGCATCCAAAGGGAAGGAATCTAGAGATAAAAAAGTCGCCAACAAGTTTTAGGAACTTGTAAACCGTTCACGGGTGTGAAGGTTACACCCCATTCATGATCACGGAGATCGCTATCTCCATAGTCGTCTGGAGCCATGACTGGATATTCGGGGATTATGGTACGAATCCAACCTAAAAGAGATTGAACCCGCCCTAAATCGGCCTCTACTAAATTCTTATGATATTCATGTGTGTTTTCTGATCAACATACATACATCAAATTACCCCTAAACCTGTTTAATCTACGTTGGTTGATTATTAATGCACAAATAAATCTATTATTGGTGATCACTTGAATTAAAATCATATTGACCTAAAGCAAATTATTAATTATCATATTAGGCATGATTTCAAGTACAAATTCCCTTTAAACCTACAGAAAAGGCGTGATCAAGCAATAACAATAAGTCATGAATAATCAAGCAACACAATTATTAATTGACACAACAATCATCATCATAATCAAAACATCATAATCATAATCTCATTAAAACATGATTAATATCCAGATCCTAGTCATGATACTAAATGATTTAATAACAAACCCTAGCATGTCACTAATAATGATCAAAACTTTAACCTAAACATGATACTAGGAACATGATATTAGAAATACTAATTAACAACCTAGACATGATACTAGGAATCATAAAGAATAATTAAGTAATCGAATTACTTACTTTGATGCCTCGTATCTCTTTCTATCAAAGCAATACACACGTTAGTAACTTCAAGAAAGATTAAATCAAATAAGAATTGAAGAATAGATTTGGGACCAAACACTTAGAACTATCAACCTTTCACGTCGAGGTCGAAGGCAACTTCAAGGATGGCTAGGAGTATTCAAAGCTTGTGAAGGAGGTATGGTGTTTGGGATGTGTTTAGGCTAGGCTAAGAAAAGAATCAAGAGAGAAGAGAGAGAGAAAATCGTTAGCTTAGAGAGGGAATTAGATGATGATTGTTGGTGATGAAGCTTGTTGATGATTGAAAACGGGGTGAAACGACCTCTATTTATAAGGAAAAAGAGATGCGAAGGATTAGATAAGAGTTAAAATCCGAATCGGAATAAAACAGGTTCGCGGCGCGACAGGTCCATCGCGGCGCGATGATCCTACAATTTTGCGATTTTTTTAATCATAACTTTTGATCTAGAAATCAGAATAAGATAAATAATATATCGTTGGAAAGCTCTAGAAGTCTAATTTGCAACCCAATTAGAATCAGACTAATATCTTTTGTAGAAAAGAAGATATGATTGAAATAGGGGAACAATGACAGTTTTTGTTAGAATTTGGTATTTTAATCATATCTCTTTCGTTATAGCTCGGAATTGGGATAATGATATATTATTGGAAAGATAATTTCAAGGGCAAGATTCGAATAAAAATTATGAGGCACGAAAATCATATATGAACATCTTTGAATTCGAATAGAACAAGGACTATAAAAAACAGGAGTTTTATTCAATTTCAAACTCTTTGATCTTTATCTTTCGGAAAGGATAGAATAGAATCTTCTAGAGACTTCTAGAAGTTCCTAATGAATCCTAATTAG